CCCTCCCCTAAGTGTTTAATTTCCCTGGCAGGTTTCGGCAGTTTCAAGGCGTATTTTTTGGTCCAGCAGCTCTAACGTTAAAAAAAGACAGTAGAACCTCCTGCTTAACCTGAGTGCTACTATAGTGGAATAGGATCTTTTTAATTTCACCTCTTCGAAATAAGCGTACTGAAAACACTGCAACGTGCTTATGCACAGTCATTGCGTAAAATGTCTGTATAACGTCACCTAAATAGGGGGAGTAAAAAGAATGCCTTTAATGCTGTACACTGGAGGTTTCTGGGTGGTTTCTTTTTGCATTTTCACAACTTCTGCAGTAACCTACCGTGTCTAACTAACTGCATGATGGCGTACTTCTCAGATGCCGTTGTGTTCTTCATTAGGACACATGTTCACTTGGAGTTAAGGCAGGGCCAACGTCTTTTTCAGTATTAATTTTTTGGCGTGAAGTGAGGTTCACATATCTTCCACCACTGTCATTTAAATGCTTGCTTAAGGAGTGCATGGAGTTCTTCATAGTGCACTAATGATTGCAATCAATATTTGCCTTTATGTACCAAATTCTACGAGAGAAGGTCTTGAACTTCACCCCCCCATACGAATTTCCGGGTTCAGAAGGGCTTAACGTGCGCCTATAAGGGAGGCTAGTCCTGTGTTTGCCGACTAAACGACAATGTTTCATGCTTTGTGTTATTAGGACACGGAGTTCAACAAGTAATTTCTTCTTCGAAGTTCAAAACACTCCATGTCTGGATGAGGCTGCCAGAACCCATTTCTACAAATTAGGTCAAAATATTTGACAAGGGTCGGCCCACATATTTTGGTTTTGCTTGAGAATCTTCACGTAAAAAGCAGCAGCAGCCATTGATCTGCTGCAGTGGAAAACAGTTCAGATATTAATACTTGTAATTTTGTAGGTGTTGGTTTTGCCATAAAGCATGCTTGGTGTTGGCGTCATTTTCTCATATACCTTGATCGTGACTTACCTGTAAGGATAGCTTACTGATATAATATTAAAAGTGGAGGAGGAACGGATATTCAGTCTAACTATCTGAAGCTGAAAATTCTGCCATGGTTAAAGAGGACCGAACCACGGATAGCGATCCAAAAACGTTGAATTCGCCGTTTTTCAGAAGTTCACTAACGAACAGGACCTTCATACACCATGATTAAGTAGGGTTTTGGTTATCTACACATATATTGTCCGTAGTGGTTGGCAATTTGGCATTGGAACATTAGGCTGGGTGAATAGTGAGAAGCATTGCCAAGACTTTTCCTCAGACAACACATTTAACACATACAAAGTTAAGGATGACCAACTACCGGTCAGTAAAACCGTAAAGATCAGATGCCAATGTCTCCTTGTTACTCCACAGCGTTCTGCTTTACAACACAAATACTGCATGCTCATCGTTCACGTTAATCGGTAAACACATATGCAATAGTGAACTTTTTTTCTTTTAAAATGTAAGAATTTTGATTTCTCACATCTCAGAACTGTTTTCCTAGGTCGCTGGCGGACGAAGAGTAAATGTGCATAAACTGAAAATTCTAAAACTGTCCTAAAATAGATAAGTTATTGGCGTTTCCTTCCCAAAACGGCTACCATCTTCCTTCACCATGTTTTGATTCGTCGTCGTCTCTTCTATTTCTCCTTGAAATGTTGTACGCGGCATGCAAATCAATATGCGAACTGATGCATTACCCATCCTTGTGCATAACCTCGAGGATTGTGTCCACCTCTCTAAGAGTCGAAATTGCGATTTTTTTCAAGGCAGTGTGATGTCTATCTGGTTTATGCGTGGACACGTGATGCTCATGCGCATGTTATCATTTGACCCTCATAAACTGCGTTACAGGCATCACATGAGCTACGGTAGGTGACTACATGTTTATCCACCTAACCCACACTATCATAGGTTTGTGCAAGCTGAGTTTGGAATGTACCTGTCGATTTGTGCGCCAGTTGCACTTGGTGTTTACTCCAGTGTTTTTTTAAAAAGTTCAGCCACATAAATTAATTGGCTTCGGCTCCTGGGTGCAACTGCCAAGTTACTTACCTCTTCACTCTTATTGTCTCGTCCATTAAATTATAAAATCCGTCAGAGACCAATTTAGAAAAAAGTAATGAAAGAAAGTAATTTATGTACACTCGGTAAAATCCTTTATCACGAAACAATTTTTTTATCAAGCGGGTTGTTGACAGTATTGCGTTTGTGTGAGACATTTCCCCCACGAACAGCCCACGAAATGCAGACTTTTTACCAACATGCTTCAAAGTTATGCATATCTTGTGAAAAGGTAGTATCGCAGGGGCTTAAGTGAGTTAAACCCTAGCAACTGCGATCTTCAGGCCATGTTTACTTAGTACAGAGAAGTCGGTAGAGGCCAGAGTAGTAGGAAGAGTATATTGTGTACACAGTGGAACGGGGAATAGATGGAAAGAGATTTGAATTGGAGAGCGTGCGACCAGCCAGGAGACCAGCCGGGTCCAAGTGCTGGTTAGGCAGCAGTCAAGCCAGTTGACAGAAAGAGCGTTCATTGGCTGTGTCGGCCTTGAAGGTTTTTGTCCAGACAGAGAAAGCAATTCACGCGTGCAGGCTTGCTATTCGTCGCCGGCCCAGAACGGCATCT